GATAGATATTTTACGTAAAAAGTGTCAATAATGGAACATGTTAAGGTGACTTTTTATTGCTAGACTGGACTGGAGTATTAATGTGACTGAATAATGCAGCAGCGACAAGTTGGCTTGTAGTAACTGTTCTTTTGTCTTGACATGGACAACATTTACATAATTTGACGTGAAATTTACCTAAACCCAATTAATACTAAAACTTTATAAAAGTTCATAATCATTTACATTCTGTCTTGTGAAACTTTTATTGAGAAAATTAAATTCACATTTATTGAGAAAATTAAAATAGATTCACAATTTCCACACAATGTCCACTGCGTCGACCTAGCGTGACACATAAAATGGGGCCCGGCCATGCACAGAAAGTAGCATACAGCTACCTCCCTGCCCGGTGCTTGAGCTTTTTAGAGGTTGTTTGTTTGAAGTTTAACTCAAAAAAAAAAAATTAAATTTAAGTTATAATTTTATTTAAGTTTTTTATTTTATTTTATAAAATTTGAGTTTTAATTTGAGTTTGAGATTAAAATTTAAGTTCAAGTTTCTCCTTCAACTTAAATTCCTAAATTCAAATTCAAGTTAACGAATAATATTTTTTATATTATTAAAAACGTAATAATTTTTTCGTTTTAATTCCGATTGAGATGATTTTTTTTCTATGCGTTCACAACGAAGAGACGAATAAAACTCCACCCATATACATTATTAAAATTTTTCATCACTATTTAGTTTTTATTAAAATACTATCTAAATATAAATTCAAGTTTTGACTCACCTAAACACAAACTCAAATAGATTTTCAATTCAAATCATAACTCAAAATGTGTTCATCCAAACACAAACTCAAATTAGAGTTAAACTCAAATCATACTCAAATACACCTTAACTCAAATCAAAATCTGAACTCAAGTCACCCTAACTCAAAAATATAAACGAACAAGCCCTAAAAATTTTACAATTTATCGACATTAAGTCACATTTTAAACTATTATTCTTTTCTATCAAATCACATTAATTTTACAGATAAAGCCTTAAGTCCGTTAGTCGTACAGTTTGTCAGATGTAGTTATTTTTATATGATATAATTCATACATTTGTGTAACGCTTAATTTATTTAGTATAATCCTAAATATTAAATATTTTTGAATTATATATATTAAACATTACACTAAAATGAAGTGTTACACAAATATATAAACGATATTATAAGAGTATATATGGGTTAAGAACAGTGATTTTGACTATAACTTTTAAAATTTAAATTTTTATAAAAAAAATATTATAACAAAATTAAAACTATAAATTATATTGTAGCAAAATTGATATATCAAATAAGCACATAATTAATTCGAGTGTCGAACTAAGAAAATTTTTAAACATGTGATGGGGTAGGATACTTCAGAATCTATCCAAAAATAAAAAGAGAGAGAAAAGGAAAATGAAAGGGAAAACTCGCGAATGAATGAAAAATCGAATATATAAGTACAATTGTTGACGTGGAAATTCGAGTTAAAACAAAATAATGTGAGCTTTTCTGTACCCAAATATTGCCCATCATTACCGAAAAAGTAAAAAGTCGTGAGACATTTGGGGAGTCAAAAAAGGGCACGGTCCCATAACTTCACCAACTGACAAATTTTGTCATTTTTAACGTTATAACCTATAGTCGGTAGTCCATATTGGCACGGGTATAAAAGGAAAGGGAATGTTATGCGCAAAAAAAAAAAAAAAAAAAAAGGAAATGGAAGATTGACGGCAATACCCGTAATAACAATCAAATTCTCAGGGCAACTTGGAGCTTTGAATTCATTTTTCAATGCTGCATTGTTTTCAGTAAGCCACTCCACAAAGTAACGTGTTTATTAAATTTAATCAAAATTATATTAAATTTAAAAATATGTATAATAAATAATTTTTAATATAAATTTAATAGTTGAAAAATAAATACTACCGGTGTTTTTAGAGTTTTTTTTTTTTTTTTTGTATTTTTTAGTTAGGGTATCTTGAGTGATGATATTGAGTTGAGTTTGAGTTGTAATTTGAGTTGTGTTTGGATGTGCACATTTAAGTTATGATTTGAATTGAGAATGTCTTTGGGTGGGTCAAAACTTAAATTTGTATTTAGATAATATTTTAATAAAAACTCAACGCTGATGAAAAATTTTAATAGGATATATGTGTGGGGTTTTATTTATCTTTTCATTGTGAATGCATAGAAAAAAATAATCTTAATTAGAATTAAAACGAAAAAATTATGACATTTTTAATAATAGAAAAAATATTGTTTATTAACTTGAGTTCAAGTTGAAAGGAAAATTTGAACTTGAGTTTAGCTTCAAACTCGAGTTCAAATTCAAATTTTATAAAAGAATATAAATTTAAATAAAATTATAACTCGAGTTTAAATTTTATCTAAATTTTATTGTAAAATAAGAACCTCTTTATTTTTTCTACTCGAAACTCTTTACTCTTATAAATAATAAAGAATTCGACTGGCTGATTCTTAACATAAACTCCCATCAAGTAGAAAGCTAAAGTTCTCATTATTTTATTAACGGTCAAAACCTTAAGGCATGACTTTGACTTTCTACAAAGTATATAATTTTAATACTCGTCAAATTTCGGCTATTCGCATCAAGAAAAATAGCAAACGACATTAATTTGCGCATTATCCATGTGAAAGGAAAAAAAAAAAGAAAAGCAACAACCACAAAACAAAGACATTATGCAAGACTCAAAATCGTTAAATTTATTTGTAATTTAAAATAGTATTGTGGGTTGTATAGATTTTTATTTAGTTTGATTGCATATGCTGAATTTTTAGGAACTAATCACCAAATTAATCCTTTCCTTCCAGTAATTAATCTCAACAGCTTAAGTGGTAAAGTAACTTATGAATTATGATAGGGAAAATTGATGTCATTTTAGAAGAATTTGCATTTGACTTAAAAGGTTATAACTTTTTTTTTTTTTTGATAAAAAAAATATTATAATTTTACTGTATAGATATTGTTCGTATATTATTTATGGAGTTTTGTTTTAAACCCTTAAATTATTATTCTATTTTATTAATTTTATATATTTTATATTCACAAACTCTAGCATCAATACATTACTCAAACTAAAATATGTGTCTCTAGCGGAAGTTCCTGAGTATACTTCCTTGTGAAAACACATTTAGAATCCTATTTTCCCCTCCTTTGAAGGAAACTTTCACATGGAATGTTCTTTGTAGAAGCTTAATAGAGAAAAAAAATATTGGGAATTTCCTTTCTCTTTATTCTTTTTAAGGAATTGTTTTTCTTTTCTTGCCGATAATACTTCTATTACCACTATAACTTCAGTCAAAGACTTAGATTGTATAAATCTATGGAGATTATGACACAAATCTGAATAATAATTTTTTTGTTTCTAAAATATTATTAATTCAACAATGGGAAAATAATATTCTATCAATACTATACTCTACATTAATCGAAAACCGATCTGGCCATCTCCAAGTAACATTGCTGACGTGACAAAATATACAGTTCTCACTAAAGGTGATTATGATGGTTGATTTTTAACTACTTAAGAGTTGCTGGATAATGTATTATACAAAATCCCTAATCTGAAAATTTTATATGTAAATTTGCAATTAATTAAAAGTTTGCTGTTAATTACGCTTAAGATGGTAAAGGAATTCTTTAATAAGGTATCATAAAAAATTATTTTTAGCTGTAGTACATAACTTTCAACCATCAAAATTTTATTGAATTTTTTGTGTTCTTAGGTCCCGTTCATTTTACCGATTCGAGTTTTACTACAGTAAAAAGCTCTCAAAAACAGTCACATCTGACTTTTTTGTTACAGTAAAAAGTTCTCACATAAAATTACATTTCAACTTGAATTAAAAACTCGAATCAACAAACTAAACGGGCTCTTAGTGTGTTTGGTAGGGTGGAAAAGAGAGAGCAAAGAAAATAGATAAAGGATTTTAGAGAGGAAAATAGAATTTTAGGTTGTTTGTTAGAAAGAAAATGAGAAAGGAAGGAAAATAAAAATCTATGGGGCTCACTAATTTTTAATCTTTCTAACTTTAGAAAGAAAAGATGAGAGAAAAAGTTAGATAAACAAATGAGGTATAAAATAACAATTTTAACCTTCACAATTTATCATATTTTTATTTGTATTGAGGTATTATTATAAAATGCCTTAGATTTAATATTTTCTTTTCACTTTTATTTCTCTTCTACCTAACAACATGAGAGAAAATCATTTTACTTCCTTCACTTATATATTTCACTTCTTATTCCTTCATCTTTTCTATCCATCCTACTAAATATAGCATTAGTGTTATGAGATTCTCAGAAAATCAGCTAAAAACCATGTGTATGATCAATTTTTGATGTATTTTTTTAGGTATCGATTTGTAGAGTATATATGCATTGCAAAACAAAATAAATAACACATGAAATATATTGTTAAAAAATTCACATGCTAGAAGTTCATATTTTTCGTTTGGTTCATGAATTAGAATCATTTTTTATTTACGTGTATTTTTTGTGAGAAAAAATACTGTAGCGAACCACGAATCATGATTTGAATTAGGGAACGAATCCTTCTACCAAACATTAATATTGATATGCTATTGATATTAGGGAGTTTACTCTGGTAGGATAGAAAAAAATAAATTACGGATAATTTTATATTTTTAACTATTAAATTTATATTAAAGATTATATATTTTATATAAATTTTTAATCTCATGTAATTTTAATATAATTTAATAATTAAAACTTAACACTGAGGAGGACGGACCTAAAAAAAACTCCCTTCATATTATCATTTGCACTGGTCTAAAATATATAAAAAAAAGTTTGGTTTGGGTGCAAAATGTAACGTAGAAAGGAAAAAAAAAAAAAAAGCAGAGGAAACAAGTGTTGGGATTTGGGAATCCTCCTGAAAAAACTGCCTTTCCTCTGTTTACATTTCATTTTCCGATCCCTCTCTCTCTCTCTCTCTCTCTATCCTATTTTTTATTTTTTATTTCGATTTCATTAAGAAAATCATTTTCATTTTTTCGCCGACACATCGCACACGCATACACAACACACTTCCTTTCTCTCTCCTCATTACACCAAGCTTCGAATCTCTCTGTTTCTCTCTCTCTCTCTCCGTCTCCTTTAATGGCGATGCCTCTTCTCAGAGGTCGCGATCTCAATCCCAACTGCTACTTCTACTTCCACGACTCCCCATTCTCTTCTTCTTCTTCTTCACCTGCGCGCGCGTCCATGGTGCTCTTGCATGTTCCTCGCCTCACCTGAACCTCCCACCCTCCCTCCTCAGCTGCTTCGCATTTACCACCAATGGCCGACGCGCTCTTGTCTCACTCGCTCACTGAGTCGCTACTACTTGTGTTCTTAGCTGCGATCTTTGCTTTTCCACCTCTTGTTGGAGCCTTCACTGATGCTTCAGATGGTATTACTTTTTTTTTCTAAATTTATTTTCATTTTTTTTGTTGTAATGATTGGATTTTTGTTGGTGGAGCTTGGATTTGGTTATGATTGGATTGAGTGTTGAGAGATTAGAAGGGAAGATTAACAATGAGGTTTTGACTTTTTGTTTTTTCAAGTTTTTGATTTGTTCATAAATTTCGGTCCTTTATTGTTGGCGAGGAAATGCAGGAAAATCTTGAGAAGATTTAAGTTTCAATTTTTATCTTCGAAGTTGTCTTTTTTTTTTTTTATTATTATTTTTATTTTTATGTGCAAACAAAAGATTGAGAAAATATTTTTTTTTTTTTTTTTTTTTTTTAGAAATTTTTGCTACGGCTTACCCGGATAATTTTGGTACAACTAAGTTGGATTTGAGCTACAATGCTATTCAACAAATCAATCTATGTAATGGGTTTTCAATAATATGTTCTTTATAGAATTTTTAGCATTAAAATTTCCCTTTTTTTTAGTGGTTTGTGTCGTATATTGCAGTTCAAGCTCTTCAGGTTATGTACACCTCACTAAACAGCCCTTCGCAGCTAACTGGTTGGACAAGTAATGGTGGTGATCCGTGTGGGGAGTCATGGAAAGGGATAACTTGTGAAGGTTCAGCTGTTGTCTCAATGTAAGAAAGTAATCATTTATATCGCAAATTTGGATTTTGTTTAGAGATTCGCTTAATTTAATAGTTCTTATTGCTTTTGTAATAGAGAAATTTCTGGGTTAGGACTCAGTGGAACGATGGGATACATGCTTGCCAACCTTGTGTCTTTGAGAAAATTGTAAGAAATTCATTTCCATTGTTTCATTTTCTGTTATCTGTGTTTTGGGTTACTTCTGCTCTAAGCTAATTTTGAGGCTTTTTATGCTTGGTAGTGATTTGAGTGACAACAACATTCACGACACAATCCCATATCAATTGCCGCCGAATCTTACGAGCCTGTAATGTTCTAATGCCTATCATTCATTCATTTATTGTTCTTGTTTTTGCTTTAAACCTGTCACTTTCATAGTTATTGACTTGCCTGTTTATTGGTTGTATATTGCGCAGGAATCTTGCGAAAAACAACTTAAGTGGGAATCTTCCTTATTCCTTTTCTACCATGTCTTCTCTCAATTATTTGTGAGTGGTTTGTCTTTGTTGTCTTCTTCACTTCCTTTTCTCAAATAGTTTCAGTTGCAATATGGGGCCCTTCTCTTTGCCAATTACAAAACAAACAACCTTGGTTTTCAGGAATGTTAGCCGCAACTCACTCGCTCAGTCAATAGGAGACGTTTTTGTTAATCTTTCTAGCCTTGGAACCTTGTAAGGCATCTTACCTCAGCACATTTTCTCATCGTTGTTTTGTCGGTTTTATTTTGTTATTGCTTTGGCTAACCGTGATGTGATTCTGTTAAGATTGATGACAATTTCAATCGCATAAATCAGTATTATTAGTACTACTTACTGTCAAATGTTAATGAAACATCAGAATACATAAATTGCAACGTTAATGTTCCTGGAATATGTTATGGTTGGTTAGTTCTTCCACAGGATGCTTATTAGTTGTGATGATAAGAGTACCTTTGCTGTAATAAATGTCTTGTCTTGTGAGAATAACTAGGTTGGATCAAGTTGGTGTTTATTTGAGCTTTTGTGTGGCTTTGTCACATAGGTCACTCGCTTGAGTACCCTACTAGTCATTATTTCAGTTTTATTTTTATTCTATATTTTAGATTTCTTATGGTTTCTCACACATTTTATTATCCTACATGTCCATCTAGGGATCTCTCCTTCAACAATTTTTCGGGTGATCTTCCTAATACATTAGGCTCATTGTTCAATCTTTCTTCACTGTAAGTTCTCTTTACCTTCTTTTGAAAACACTTATTCTATACTTTGTCTTAATATGCTTTGAGTTCTCATAACATCTAAATTCGTGACAGCTACATGCAGAACAATCAATTAACTGGTTCTCTGAATGTTCTGACGGGTTTACCTTTGACTACACTGTGAGTTTCTTCCCAATCCTGGACTCCAAATTCTATTACCATCTTGTTCTGACTCTACATTTTCTTTCGAACAGAAATGTGGCAAACAACCACTTCACCGGATGGATACCTCAAGAGCTTAGTTCAATTCATAGTTTTATGTAAGCATTCACGTCTCTTTTATATTTTTCTCCAGTCTACATTATAATTTCAACTTCTGCATTATGTAATTTAGCTCTTAAAATCAACACAGATATGATGGAAATTCATTTGACAATGGTCCTGCTCCTCCGTCACCACCACATACCCCACCTCCCCCAGGAAGATCTCATAATAACCGCAACCATTCTGGATCTGGCACACACACAGAGGATTCTGACCATGATGCATCTCATTCAGAGAACGGGTTGGCAGTTGGGGCTATAGTAGGGATCATTCTGGGTTCTATATCTGCTGCTGCCATTGTGTTCCTCGCTATTTTCATTTGCATCCGAAGGAATAAACGGAAGGTCACAGGTGCAAGACCTTCTGGGGCAAGTCTTTCTATTGGCTCAAATAGTGGTAAGTTAGACCATCTTTGCTCTCCTACTCATTCGTCTGTAGTTTAGCTTTGCTATTTGGTTAATGTGATTCCCTTCTTTTGGCTTTATTGCTGAAGAGGCATTCTTTAAAGGTTTTATTTATTTATTTATCATAGCGAACTTCCTTCCTTTTTGATAGATAGAGAAGTTGGGACTTTCAGTGGTGTAGGAAATTTCTATATTTAAATGGCTATGTTCTAACCTAACCACAAATGGTTCCACAAAGTGTGAAATTTTTTCACAGCTATTTCAAGTTGCTTCTATTCCAAGTCCAACCATACTCACTGTTTCCATGCTTATGCTTTGCTTTGCTTTTGTAGTAAGTACTGAAATGCAAGAGCAGAGGGTAAAACCAATGGCTGTTGTAACAGATCTAAAGCCCCCACCGGCAGAGAAAGTGATGGTTGATAGCCTGCATGGGAAAAATGGATCTGTAAAGAGGATAAAGTCACCCATCACTGCTACTTCATATACCGTCGCGTCTCTACAGACAGCAACTAATAGCTTTAGTCAAGAATTTCTTATTGGTGAAGGCTCCCTTGGTCGGGTTTACAAAGCAGATTTCCCAAATGGAAAGGTACTTATTTGACATGTTCTAGCTCACAAGAGTGCTTTTTTGTCCCCAACACAATCATATTCAGTTTTATCATTTATGTTGCTGGCGGCAGGTAATGGCCATTAAGAAAATCGACAATGCAGCACTATCATTACAGGAGGAGGATAACTTTCTAGAAGCTGTTTCTAACATGTCCCGCCTGAGGCACCCAAACATTGTTACACTGGTTGGATATTGTGCAGAGCACGGACAGCGTCTTTTGGTTTATGAATTTGTAGGAAATGGAAGCTTGCATGACATGCTCCATTTTTCAGAAGATGGAGGCAAGACCCTCACTTGGAATGTGCGTGTCAGGGTAGCACTTGGCACTGCTCGAGCCTTAGAGTATGTCACATGCGTATGAAATTAAAGTCTCTCTCTGTGCGTGTGGTTAGAATGCATGGCTGATTGTTGAAAATCTCATATCAACTCCCTTCCTAAACCATGTATGTTTACACCTGTCAGGTACTTGCATGAAGTGTGCTTACCTTCTGTTGTACATAGAAACTTCAAGTCAGCAAACATTTTGCTCGACGAAGAGCTCAATCCCCACTTGTCAGATTGTGGCTTAGCTGCTTTAACACCAAACACAGAACGACAGGTTGATAGACTCGAAAAGATTATCTAGTGTAACAACTTTAGGTCTTGCTTAGTTCTTTTCTTGTAATTCTGTCATGACTAATAACATTTACTTCATGCTTAACAGGTTTCGACGCAGATGGTTGGTCAATTTGGTTATAGCGCTCCTGAATTTGCCTTGTCAGGAGTCTACACTGTGAAAAGTGATGTATACAGCTTTGGGGTGGTGATGCTGGAGCTTCTGACTGGTCGGAAGCCACTAGACAGGTATACCCATTATACATTATCAAATTATCATGATTATGGTCTCGGAAGTTCTTCAACCATGAAAATCTTGATGTTGATTTTATCTTTATGGCTTCCTATTCTTTCTGCTGGTTAGTTCAAGAGTTAGATCCGAACAATCACTTGTAAGATGGGCCACTCCCCAACTCCATGATATCGATGCCTTAGCAAAAATGGTTGATCCTGCTCTGAATGGCATGTACCCTGCAAAGTCTCTCTCGCGCTTTGCAGACATCATTGCTCTCTGTGTTCAGGTAAATTACTTACGCAATGACCATTGACCAATTGCTTTAAGCATCATCTCGTTGTTGCTTTCTTACACATTTTTCCATTTCCATAGGAATTTATATATAATAACACAAAAACCAATTGTTTGATGATTCTTTCATGAAAAAATGATCCTAACACGGTATCTTGTATGGTTATCGTATAGCCGGAACCCGAATTTCGGCCACCAATGTCTGAGGTTGTGCAAGCATTGGTACGATTAGTGCAAAGGGCAAGCGTAATCAAAAGGCGTTCGAGTGACGAATCGGGTTTTTCATACAAGACCCCTGACCACGAAGCAATCGACATCTCAATGTAAGTGTCCCAACAATTTTCAGTTTTTCATACGACCATACATGCAGAGGTCAGTTCCTGGCTTGAGCGCACACAGAGCAATGAAGAAGGTAAATAAAAAATAGCAAAAAACGACTATGCATTGAGAGAGGTGATTAGCTATGGTTGACGCACACGAAGAGATGAGAAGTTAGTGAGGATGTGTGGGAACTCCAGAAAGTTGGTAATAGGTAAGCAGAGATGTGTAATTATGATGCATATAAAACTGGAAACGCGGTTGAGGTATAGCTAGAATTCTGCTTTGTATTTATTTATATTAACCTTTGTCTGCGGTACTCTTAAGAGGCACAATGGAGATGCTTTTTTTGCATCAAAATAAGATTTTACCTTTATTTTTTTACCCTTAATACAACTTGCTTTGTAATCACTAATCAGTGATCGCTGTTGAAATGAGTCAAATGGGATTGTGAAAATGTAAAAAGTTAGCCAATACCCTGCAGGCTGTACTTGCCTTCTTTTGCCTTTCTTGTTAGTGGGGGTTTTTTTTTTTTTTTTTCAAAAGGTAATAATAAAATCTTCAGATGTACTTCGAACAGTAATACTATGCATATATAATTCGACTCAAGTTATAAAATTAAAAAAAAGAAAAAAAAAAAAAAAACATCGCAACTTATGGCAACTAGTTCGTTCGTAGGTACTAGCAAAATTTGAAATTTATCTTTGGGTAACTAAAAGAACCGAGGCTTCAGTTAAATAGAAATGACATGCTTTTCCATTTGACAGCAGAAGATTGTTGGATAAAGCTAAGAAGTCATTTCTCGTAATAATATGAAACGTTTACCTCTACAGCTTATAGCGCTCGTAAACGACAAGAAGATTGTCATACGTCCAATACAAACGACAGCAAGTCATTAAAAGACAGATGTGCCCTTTTTGCATTCCACCACAGCACTTCTTTACTCGATACGATGTCCGCAATTATACGACACTAGATTTATAAGTCGAATGTCAAGCCGTATAAGTTGAAACGACAAAAAAAATATTAGGAAGATGTCGTTTAATCAACTGAAAAACGACAGTTGAACGACTTCACCGGAGCCGTACTCGTCTCTTTAACGAACAATTTTCCTATCCTAACTTCCATTAACCGCCACTTCTTTTTTGTTTTTTTGAGTTTATAACGGCCTCTCTCTCTCTCTCTCTCTCGTTTTTTGTTTTTTTTTATGTGTGGTGGTTTTCCCCTCTTTGTTTGGCAATTTTCCCTATAATTCTAAAGTTAGAAAAAAAAAAAAAAAAAAAAAAAAAAGAAAAAGAAAAAAAAGGACTCTAAGCTGAGCTTTCACAAGAGCACGCCAAGCTTCCTTTCCCTCGCTTCTCTCTTTTTCTTTCCCGAGAAAATCCGAAAGCTAATCTCTCTTTTCTCGGATCTCATCTCTCCATGGCCGATACTTTCGATCCGACAAAACCTCCTCGTCAAGAACAAATACAACAAAATGGGGAGATTGGGGTCCCACTGTCACTTTCACTCTCGGATCACTCGGATCCGCCCAAAACATCCTGGTCCGCCTTCATCAATTCCCGCCTGAACGCTACCCCTCCGAGGAGCCGCCAAGCCTCGCCGGCTCACTCCCCTCGTCTCGGCCCCAGCCGCTTCTCCATCGCCGACCGATCCTCCGATTCTCATCATGAATCGTTTCTCGAGATCGGAAGATGCAGAAGAGAGCGAAGAGGAAGAAGCTAGGGAAGATGTCGCACGGCAAGAGGCGAATCAAAGGGTTCTTGACCTTGATTTGCTTATTGGCTCTGTTCTTGTTCGTGAACTGGATCATGCTTTTGCGGCTACAAGAGCATGGAATCGTTCATCACAAATCTCGCTCTTCTATCAATAATTCGCCTGTTTCTGCCCGGGTATGTTTTACCCTTAGGTTCTGAATTCGATTGTCATTTTTTTTTTCAACATGCATTGTAGATAAATATTTATTCTTTAGGGGCAGTTCTTGCAGAATAATGATTTACTTTGAATATTTATAGATGGGATTTAGCTGAAGATGACATTTATAGACGTGAACTAACTGAATACATTCTTTAGGTGTAAACTACATAATCAATTTGCTCTAGTACCATGGAATATACAAGGATATATCAGAGATTAGGGAAGTTATGAGAAGAAGACTATTATGTTATTAAGACTTTTTGACAAAATGTTTGGGATAGAGCAGAAAGTTCAAGTTTTCAAGTAAAGCCAAGAAGTTTCTAGCAACCCTGTTTTTATAACATTATTGCCATTTGACATGGTTTGGGAAGGATTTGCGAGACCTGGGACATCTAGAATAGATTCTTAAAGTTGCGAAGAAATTTAGAATTGTTGTTGTAATGCATTACAGACATACAATTCATCATGGCTTATGTAGAGATCAACATGAGTTGGTTCCTAGAGCGGTAGTTATAAAGATTCTTCCTTTTGTGTCGGTTTTCTTTTGGCTTCTGCAGAAAGGATTACGAAAAATTGGTAAAGGAAAAGCCACACAGAAAGGGAACTATGGAAGGATGTTGGCTTTAGCTGCCCATGCCTTGGCAGAGGTATTTGAAATGAATCCTTATCTCAACTGTTTGAATGACATTGAAACTTTGTTTAGTTGAGTTGCGATCTAGTTATCGTGTAATACCGTCGATAGATCTTCTTAGTGTGGTTCTTTTGCTCGCTCTCATTGTTTTTGATTGTGACACAGGGACAAAATAAAGCTGAGCCAAAAGATTTGTGGAAGGAGCCTTTTATTCTTGCTTCTTCTTGGAAACCTTGTGCCGACCAACGCAACTGGGAACCTAATGGTTTTACTCTCTCTCTCTCTCTCTTTGTGTGTGTGTGTGCATGTGTTTGTTTTGAACGTTGCTTATATATGCATATGAAAATGAGTACATTCTATATGTGATTTGAGAGAGTGCGTGGGTTTTCTCACAGATCAATTACTTTGTTATTTGATCCGTTACAGATTACTAAATCTGGTTCTTACCCGTTTTTTTTTTTTTTTTCTTTTTTCGTTGGTGACTTCTTCATAGAGGGAAAGAATGGATACATTTTAGTCACTGCAAATGGTGGGATGAACCAGCAGAGAGTTGCTGTAAGTAATGTTTATGGTACTAGCTCCTATTATTATCTTCTTCTTCTTCTTTTTGATATGCCTCCTGGTTTGTTAATATCTACCATCTAAAAACTGTTCTGTTTGGCAACAGGTCTGTAATGCTGTTGTTCTTGCAAGGTTACTCAACTCCACTCTGGTTGTTCCAAAATTTTTGTACAGTAGCGTTTGGAAAGATGTAAGGTGATATACTTCTTTCCTTTCCATTCTTACTGTTCCTTTATTTGTTTTTGTAATTTTTTTTGGGGTGAGTTATTCCATTATCATCATGTATTTGAACTTCGAAGTAGAATAATATCATGAATGGAGGAGAATTTGGGAAGAGCATGTCCATATTAGGCCTTACTCATGACATGAATGCTATTCATTATTAACATTCAATGTGTCTACTTGAGGCTAAGTAGTGCTGCATGCTTTTCTCCTTCTCCTTTGCAATATTATAATCTCATATTTTCCCTGGTAGAGTGATGATAACTAGTTTCATTATGTCACAGTCAATTCAGTGATATCTATGAGGAGGAGCATTTTATTAACTACTTGTCACCTGATATCCGGATAGTGAAGGAACTACCCAAGGAGCTGCGTTCATTAAACTTGGAGGCTATTGGTAGCGTTGTACGTCCATCTGCCAAATTTTGAATTATTATGAAAAGTAACAGTGAGTTTGCTTCTATCAATATTTTTGGATTACATTGATTGTTAGATTCTTGTACCAGGTGACCGATGAAGACATCAGAAAAGAGGCAAAGCCAAGTTTTTACTTGAAAAACATTCTCCCAATAATCCTTAAAAATGGAGTTGTCCATTTGCTCGGATTTGGAAATCGCTTGGCATTTGATCCAATACCTTTTCAGTTACAGGTAACCAATAGGTCCCAGAACCGTGATTCTTTATAAGATTTTGGTTAATAAATTCATAATAGATCGAATCCTTTCCTTAATAGTTGCCTCTTCTACTTTTGTCTGGTTTCCTTTTCCTAATTGGGAAATTTCATCTAGAGACTTCGATGCAGATGTAATTTCCACGCTTTGCAATTTGTTCCCAAGATCCAACAAATTGGCGCTTTGCTTCTCCAAAGGTTGCGTCAACATGAAGGTCACCCTGGTGGACCACTGGATCAATATCTCGTTGGTTCATATGCACAAGAATTTAGAAAACAAAATCAAACTCGTCCAAAGAAAGCTTCCAGATATCTAGCTTTACACTTGAGGTTTGAAATTGACATGGTAGCTCATTCTTTATGTGAATTTGGTGGAGGTGATGAAGAGAGGCGAGAGTTGGAAGCTTACCGTGAAATCCATTTCCCTGCATTGACACTTCTTAAGAAGACCACAAAGTATGCTTCATTTCACCTCTTAAATTCCAGTTGGTCTGAGATTTCTTTTTTCTTTTTTCAAATTTTCTAATATTTTTTCAGAAACCACCTTTCTCCACTTCATTTGAGGCTCTCACCCAGTATCATGATGATTTCACCTTTTTGTCCTCTCTCTCTCTACTCTTCCTCTATTGGAGACAAGTAAACTAGTTAGATTTGTCAGTGAATCATATTTATGTTTTCTAATTTATTCCAGGTTGCCTTCTCCCCAAGAACTTAGATCAGAAGGGTTGTGTCCTTTAACGCCAGAAGAAGCAGTACTTATGCTTGCTGCTCTTGGTTTTAATCGTAAGACACATATATTTGTGGCAGGCTCACAGATATATGGAGGCAGATCAAGGTTGGTTGCTTTGACAAGCTTATATCCAAAGTTGGTTACTAAAGAGAATTTGCTTTCGTCAAGTGAACTTGAACCATTCATGAATTTTTCATCTCAGGTAATATAACATGCCAATATTTTCAGCCTTCTAATGTGATTTTCTTGCGAGAATAGCAATGGTGAATCCTTCTTTTCATTGTTAATTGGTTGAATGATAATGTTTTGTATAGTTAGCGGCACTGGACTTCATAGGATGCACTGCTGCCGATGCTTTTGCAATGACAGATTCGGGGAGTCAGTTATCGTCCTTGGTATCTGGTTTTCGCGTATATTATGGCGGGGGGAATATGCCGACAATACGACCAAACAAGCGTAGGCTAGCGAGCATCTTTATGAAGAATTCAACCATCGAGTGGCGTGTGTTTGAGCAGAGAGTTAGGAAGGCAATTAGACAAACTAAACATGTCCGAACAAGGCCCAAGGCAAGGAGTGTTTACCGGTATCCACGGTGTAAAGAGTGTATGTGCAGAACAGAATAACGGTACTCTTTTTTTTTTTTTTTCTTTTTTTGCTAGAGCTAATTGTAATATGTAAACATTAAACATTTATTCTTAATTTTGATTTTAAATAACTCCATGTCGTTCATTAGATTCTTCAGAATGTTTTTTATTCTACATAACGTGAATAGACTGAAGTGTAATGGAATATTAACTCGTCCTAAAATGATTTTGTTTTTTTTATGAAAATGAAAATGTTTTCAATCTCAGATATAAATTATTTTTAAAAATGCATTTAGTAGTTTTATTAAGAGATTATTTTCAGTATAAAAAAACTCATTAATGTCTTTCTCTCTGTTCGAGAGAGGAGAAAATGAAAATAAAAAACTCTCTTATTTTACACTAAAATAAAAAATCGTTTTCATTTCAATTTTGTCTTTATTGCACCAAATGTCGTTTTAAAAACTTTTTCATTTTTTTTCTCAGAAAGCGTAAAAAATAAAAACGAGATCAATTCTAAACGGTCTATGGGTGCGTTTGGAACTCGCTTTAAAATGAATTTATTTTTTGTATGAAAATGAAAATGAAAACGTTTTCAATCTCAGATAGAAATCATTTTTGAAAATGTGTTTGGTAATTTTATTAAAAGATTGTTTTCAGTATAAAAAATTTCATTAATGTTTCTCTCTCTTTCTCTCTGCTTAGGAGAGAAGAAAACAAAAATAAAAAATGAAAAACGACTAAAAGTCGTTTTTCATTTCTCTCTCATTTTACATTAAAACAAAAAATCGTTTTCATTTCCATTTTATTTTTATTCTGCCAAATGCCGTTTTAAAAACTTTTTCATTTTTTTTCTCAAAAAACGTAAAAAATAAAAACAGGCTCAATTCTAAACAGCCTATGGGTGCGTTTAAAACTCGTTCTAAAATGATTTTATTTTTTGTATGAAAATGAAAATGAAAACGTTTTCAATTTCAGATAGAAATCATTTTTAAAAATGTGTTTGATAGTTTTATTAAGATATTATTTTCAGTATAAAAAAATTCATTAATGTCTCTCTCTCTTTCTCTCTGCTCGAGAGAGAAGAAAACAAAAACAAAAAATGAAAAACGACTAAAAGTCGTTTTTTATTTCTCTCTCATTTTATACTAAAACAAAAAATCGTTTTTATTTTTATTTTTTGTCTTTATTACACTAAATGCCGTTTTAAAAACGTTTTATTTTTCTTTCTCAAAAAACGTAAAAAATAAAAACGGGATTAATTCTAAACGGCCTATGTTTTTGGGTAATATTTTTGGGTCCATATTACTGCTTTTAAAGATTATTCATAGATATTGGAAGAGATTATTCATAGATATCGGAAGAGATTAGCTACATAATCCTCATCTTTTCTGTACTGATATGGGAAAAACTGACAAGGGTATTTTTACAATATGACCTAAACTTCCAGTTAGTATGATTTCACCAAAGCTGAAGTCATTCATTGCTTTGGTCACATTTAATTGTACATCTAATTCTTGTGTTCCTTGTGGAGCTATGGTAAACCAAGGAGGATTCAAGCTCACCGTGGTCCCATTAGGAGGCAACACCGCACAAAGGTACGTCTCCGGCTCGTTTCGTACGTTCCTGACAGTTCGCTGTACCGACAGAGATCCTATCAATGCTGATATCGTTATTGAAGGAAGGTTTAGATTGGCTGGGTGAGTAAGCGAGTAATTGCAGCTTTCTCCAATGGCAATTTTGATTGTAGCAGGATTCATACCGGGCAATGAGCACAAGAAGGCGACGTAATCTTTATATCCTGCTTCATCAACACCCCATGACTCTGATTTGTAAGGGGAATGAAAAAGAGTTTAGCAATGATAAACTTTTAGTATGAAAAACATTACCTGAAGAGAAAACCAGCCCGGGATCTATGGCACAACTCGGCGTGACAAGGCCAGAACCTAATTCGAAAGGGGTGGAAGGATACAAACTGCCGATACTAAATCCTTCTGCCATTATAACTTGTCCGTGGTTATCATACTTGGTTGCCGTGGTGTCAATTGCGGATGAAATCATGGATGGCGTCCATGAAGGATTGTACTGCTTTATAAGTGCCGCTATTCCCGCTATATGTGGTGTTGCCATGCTTGTACCAGAGACTAGTGCAAAACTGAGTCCTACAATAGCCATCATATTAATGCTTGAAGACAAAATAGGAAGAGAAATAACTGCCGTGTTTAGAATTGTTCTTATTTTTATTTTTCTTTCTAAAACGCATTTGGTATAATTAAAGACAAAAAATAAAAATGAAAACGATTTTTTAGTTTAGTGTAAAATGAGAGAAATGAAAAACGAGTTTTAGTCGTTTTTCAAAAAGAGAGACATTAATGATTTTTTTATACTGAAAACAATCTCTTGATAAAACTACCAAACGCATTTTAAAAAATAATTTCTATCTGAGATTGAAAACGTTTTCATTTCTATTTTCATAAAAAAATAAAATTATTTTAAAATGAGTTCTAAACGCACCAAACACCTTGACTTTTCTCAATATAAAGACACTCTTTTCACCGAACTTAATTATAGTGTCATGGAGTTGAGGAGATATCGCTATAATATTTACCAAAAATAATAATAATAAGGACTAATCTCTTGAGTCTTTCTTGTTTGAGAGTTTTTACTCTCTTTTTTATTATTATTATTATTATTATTATTTTTTCGCTTACCTTCTAGTATGGGATCAGAGGCACTAATGGGGCTCCAAGCCGCCCAAACTCGTTGACCCGGGGCAAGAATATCAGGCTTTAGAACATCAGTTGGGTTCCTTTTAGCATCAATGAAATCAGGTCCCCTTGAAGAGAATCTGCTCACCGTTGGCGCTTGGCTCTTGAAAGAAGCAACTCTTCCTTCTCCTATTGCAGCTTTTGCCCTGAATCTCCTTACTAATTTTGACTCACCCCTATGTGTATGTCGTTCATAATAGTTCAATATAACCTACATTTCATAGTTCTCTCATAATTAAGATTTCCACAAATATTGGTTATCATCATTATGTTAAATATTATAATGTAAAAGTAGTCATGTTATTTGTACCTGAACATCAGCAACACTTGGGATCAAAAGGCCTGGAATATCAAAGGGAATAGGCTCTGCTATGAAATCACCATAGCTTGGATTTGCAACAAAGACGAAGCCCGCAAATCCTAGTGCTTTTGCCGTGCTGATAATGGCTGTGACAGAGGATGTTCCATTTGAGAAGCCCTCAGAGAAGGTACATATTACAATGCTACCTCGTACTACTCTTGGGTCCAATGCTTGAGGAGATTGACACTCTTCAATTAATGATGGCGTTTCAGGAAACGACCCATTTGTCCTCGCAGCATCCCTGGCTAATACCAGCTTATGCAAGAACAAGCCATTTCCCAAAGATGGTCCTAAAACAAAAAAAGCAATCAATTTATAAATAACTGATTTGTGACTCGTTTCATGTTTTTGGAATCATTAGTCTGAGATTATATTTGAAATATTGGAATCAGTGATCGAAATTGTGTCTAGTTATACTATCTTGGTTGTATTTAGTAATTAAAAAAAAATGTGAAACCCCATTTTGTTCAAATCAAAATTCTTAATTTAAACTGAAAATCTAATCTAAATTGGTGTTTGAAAGAGAAAAAATACAAGCGTCATTCGGATTTTGAAAAAGAAACGTCTGAATTAGATTCGCAGTTTAAATTGAGAAGTGGTTGAAACCTTCTAAACAAATGGTCCGAATTGTTTAAGATTATTAACAAGTGAAAACATCTAACAGATACAAAAAGTTGTCATGAAAACAGACAAATAAAAAGCATTTTTGCTTTGTTATAAGCTTCTAAACGTTTGGTTCATAAATTCAGAATTATAATTTAAAATTATTCTCAATTTACGTATATCTTTTTATAAAAAGAAATACTATAATAAATCACGAACTATAATTTGAATCATAACACAAATCCTCGTACATATCTGTTTTCATAATCATAAAAACGAGAACAAAACCTTGACTATTAACAAACCTGATAATCCCAGGCCTCCAACTTTTCGGCCATTCCCAAGAAGAAGACATCCGGGGTAACTTCTATCAGTACCGGAGGCAGCTACTCCTACGGCCCATGGGCTGAATGAGACTACTGTTGATGGGCCTGGGCCTTTGTTGCCCGCTGCTTGGACCACCAAAACCCCAGCTCGCCGAGCAAATAGCAGTGCGATATCAAACAAGTTTAAGAAGGTGATTGTGTCTTCTGGAGGTTCATCGGGTCCCACAGAGAGTGTTAGGATGTCCACTCCATCTAATACTGCCTGTGGTAAAATAGTCAACAAAGATATATAAACCACTTTAATATTTTTCTTTAATTTCTATGAAATCAATTTCGGTTTAACTGGTAAGTAGTGATGAATTAATTAATGTGCTCACTTGATCAATTGCTGAAATCACGTCTGTTAAGGTTGCCACTGTTGGGTAGACAGCCTTGTATATAGCAATTCTGTTTAACAAAAGGCGTGGATATTTACTTTATAAACATTGGTAATTATCTCATGGTTTTGTTAACTGATCATAATTTTTCATCTTAAGTACATGTCAGACTTGAATTAAGGTCTATAAGAAACCAAAATAAAAACTAACAAATGTTTTCAATTTTAGCTAGCCTAACATTGAATTTACACCTACTTTCAACATTAAGGTATAGAATTTAAGGGTCCGTTTAGTTCGCTGATTCGAGTTGAGATGCAACTTTATGTGAGAACTTTTTACTGTAATAAAAAAATTAAATGTGACTGTTTATGTAACAAAATTCAAATTCTAAACTCGAATCGGTGAAATAAACCAGACTTAAATCTTCCATCTTTTAATTATAAAATTAGAATAGGAGAAGAAACGAACTGGGCACGTGGCGCCATTCCACTAGCTCGTCCATAAAAGAAGCCATTCACCACCACCGGTACTCCAGCATTTCCAGCCGCGGTTGATGCCACATGACTGTTCAAAGCATTATTTTTCCTTGTCAAAGAATTGACTATACTCTATACGTACTTTATGGTAAAAAGTTCATACTAATATATTATGATTTTGAAAGTCACAATACATTAAAATCATATAAAAAAATCAAACCAAACAATTTCCAAACACGACTAATAAAAATCTTACTTGTAAAAATTTCTGCAAAATATTAAGAGAGTATTTAGAGCCCGTTTAGTTCGCTGATTCGAGTTGAGATGTGATTTTATGTGAGAATTTTTTATTGTAGTAAAAAAGTTAGATGTGACTGTTTCTGAGAGCTTTTCACTGTAATAAAACTCGAATTCTAAACTCGAATCGGTAAAATGAACAAGTTTTAACTTTCATGGCAAATATGATTTAGAGACTTGATTTTCGATCATATAATTTATAAATACCTGCCATGTCCAACTGCATCGTAGGGTGAGAGAAAATCCACAGAAGTGTTGAGAGTAGTGGCCGCTTGAGCGCCCGCGGAGAAGAATCTCGCGGAGACTATCTTTCCGTTGCAAGAACTCGCCGGGAAATGAGGACCGGCCTCACAGGCGCCGGAGAAACGAGAAAGGTTGGAAGTAAAAGGATTGAAGGGGTTAAAGGCAAAGCTAGGGTGTGTTGGGTTAATGCCAGTGTCCACAAAGCCAATCACAATCCCTTCACCGGCGTTTCTTTCTCCTCCTTCTTGTGCCCAAACTCCCTCACGTAAGCCTAGGAATTTAGGAGTGTATGTTGTCATCAATTTGGCTCCTCTATCTTTCTCCACCAACCTTACGCCCTCAACATCTCTCAGTTTTGAGGCCTGCAATAACCATGATATAATGTTCTACTTTTTACCATCTTTTTAAAAAAAAATATATATATATATATATATGTATGTATTTATGCTTGTTTATGGGACTAAAAGGAAATCTGTATAAATTGGTATAATATTGAAAAGTTGGAGAGAGATCATATCAGGAAATTCAGGACCTGGGAAGGGGTGGTATGAACGGCAAATCCATTAACAATGTGTTTGAAGCTGTGAAGCTTGGTGTAGCTTCCGGTCTCCAGTGTGCTCTGTAGAAGTTTGTCGTGAGAATTCACCAAGCGCTTTGCATGGGCTCTAGAAACCTCACTGACCAATATATACACATGCAAGATTATATAATATTGAGTTATTGAGATCGTATATATGTAATAATAAGCCAATGTTGTAAAAGGTGCTACTTATTATAACAGATAGATAGATAAATAAATAAATAAATAATTATAAGTACTATCTTTGATTCCGAAAAAGTTTAGGGTGGAAAAAAGGAAATTCTATACCCAAAATCTTGATTATTATTATTATTATTTTAAGATAAACAAAAGCTTGATTATTAAAGATGTAGATGAGCAATAAATTTTACCAGTACAACATCGGATTACGGTAAACTAATTAGTACGTACGTGAGACTTTAAAAGATTCTGGGATGAACTAATTAGGATTTGAAAGAAAAAAATGATATGATATTAAAAATTGGAGAGAAGGAATAACATTTATGATTCACCTGTGTTTATGACCTTTGTGAGACAGATTAGAACCTCCAAGGAATGCAGCAGGTTCATCTTCCATGGTAACCAAGTACAAAGCTCTCTCCTCTGCCAAACAATCAGCAGTCATGATCACCATCAACAAACCGAGACGAATCACTTCCACCCGCTTCAATGAAGCAAATTCCGCCATGGCTAAGATAATCAAGCTGTTTTTTTTTTCTTTTTAATATCTTTGATAAGGATTATAAGATATCGCTGATCTCATGAACCATGCAAAAAGACAAGTGATTACCACGCTATCAATGCGCGTTAAAGTTGCTGGTCTTAGAGCTTTCGTCTGGAAAACATATACTTGTTTTGGAATAAACGTTACAAGTAAAAGTTTTGATCCATCCATACATGTTTATAGTCGAAGTTGGATTGGAAAAGGTAAGTGGGTTTTTTTTTTTTTTTAATATTTGCACGCAGTCCTTGCCATGTCACGTAAAATAACCATGATTTATGTCTTATTTGGTTTTTAGTTAAAGAGAGGGAAAAAAAACCGAAACCGAAAATCCAAAACTGTTAACATATTGAATTCTTAGTCCCAAATTGGAGACAATTTCTTTTACTTAGACTCTCTCTCACCAAACTTCGATAAGATTGTCATTGACCGGATTTTAAGGAATAAAAAGTAGGGAATATATCTTTCAACAACTTTTAGATATAAATGGAAACAAGTATTGAAATAAAGCTCTTGCCTTGTTGGGTTGGAGGCATAGAGCCGAAGTCCATGGTCAAGAATTTGTAGTCTTAGAATCAATCATAAGGTAATTAAGAACTGGGTTTAAATTACCAGATTATTATTGCAGTTAGTTGACCAATTGATTTCTTCCCTATTTGTAGGACGGTTTCCAAAAAACAGTTTGGACAGAAAATAGTCTCCTGTTCCAAATTAATTTATACTTATAAATTGTTCAGACGACAATTGGAAAGACTCATACATGGCTCAAAGAGATGACAATTAGGGAGTTATAATCGTATTTAGTGATGTAAATTGTGCCACGAGAGATTGCTATTCGTAGCACAAACAATGGTTCACATTTATCTTATTTTACCTTCATACTTCATTCGTGCCTATATCATGTTTTGCTTTCCAAGTTGTCGTGTTCTTTTTTCCTTTTTTTTTTTGTGTGAATATCTTTATTATGCTAATATTTTTGAAGTTGATAAGTAAGTGATCATTCTCCTAAGACTTTTTGGTCGTGCCGCCCCGGCTGTGCCTGTACCCCTGCCGTGCTCTCCATGCCGGTACACAGCACATATTGGCGTCACTGATCGTCCCCATCACTGTCTTCGTGTGCTTTGATAGGGAAATAAAACCCAGAAAAATTTCTACACTTGGATGATCAAAATTAGAAGAAATGGATGTTAGATAAATAAATTAATAGTAATAGAATATTAATCCGAATCCACAATGCATTGTACTACAAAATGCTGGGACTTAAATATGATCACAGAGAGCATAGGTTAAGGACACAGAACCTCCTCCTAAATCTATCTAACAGGAGTTACCTAGAACTGTAGTCAAAACACAGAATCTGTAAGAATCTCCGTGAGCTGTACAACACTCGTGATGACAATTCAAAAGACGAATGATGCTTCAAGACGACTTGTTTAGACGTAGTCAAAGTACTTGCTGCCTGCAATTGCAGTCATCTCTTCCTGCGCTTGGGCTCCACCTGCAAAGAGTTTGGATTTTAGCACTAATTACTAACTAGAAAATATGTAGGGGTCAAAGAGAAATAATAATAATAATAACGACAACCCCCTCTCTTTTTTTTTTCCTTTGCTAATCTCCCTCTTTCTCACGTTTAGTAAGAACTCAGTGCAAATTGTCGTACTTAGATTCATCATTAAGTAAATATGAAACTGTATATCAAAGGAAGGGACAGTAATCACTTCGCCAAACCACAATGCATAAACAACCAATGCCATACGCCATTATCTGGCATTGTCAAATCTTAGTATGTATCTAAGCATTATAATCACCATAGATATTCATCTTAAAACGTATTCAACCAATATCCATTTATCAACATACTTAAATAGAGTACAGAATGTACTCTGCACATATATTAGGCCATGAGTGATTGTCAAGAGCTATATCAAGAAGCTTCAAGGGCATAGGCTGCATTTCAGAAAAGTTTCATGCCTCGTTCATTTTACTGATTTAAATTTAAAATTTAAATTTTATTACAATAAAAAACTCTCAGAAACAGTCACATCTTTTTTTTTTCTTTTTGCTACAGTAAAAAACTCACATCTCAACTCGAATCAACAAACTAAACATGCCCTTAGTGTTTTCAAAATAATTTTATTTTGAGTTGAAAATGGGAATGAGAACTTTTTAGGAATGGTGTTGAGATTGTTTCTAAAATTACACTAGGTTAATTTTCGTAGAGATTGTTTTAAATACCAAAAAGGTGAAATTGTGTCTGGGTATATTTTGAAAGACATGTACTAAGTTATAGCTTAGAAAATGAAAATCGGAAAACAACTTTTTAACAATTTTCTATTTCTTTAACAAAAACCATTTTCACTATTTCTTACTTTCGTTCTCGCTTTCAAAGGATTTGGTAACAAATGCGGTTTGAAGGCCATTTTCGTTTTCCGGCCTTAAAAAGGCCCTTTAATTCCTCTTCTAAAGATATCTTGGCCATGTAGCATCCACTTGTGAGCTAGTACAAGTTCACCAACGTACTAGCAAATTTGGAATCAGAATGCCAATTTTATGAACCATTTGAAGGAAAACAAGTAGCCCATCGGAATGTGTATAACGTCTAATTCATTGTCCTATGTGTGAAGAAGCAGATTCACTAACAGAACCAACTGTAGGCAATATTCCACCTTATCTGACAAACGAAATCAATCAAGATTTGCACCACTGTGACATATCAAGTCAACTAGCAACCATAGAACATACGCACATGCGCCAAACTAGAATTAGGAAACAAATGCAACTGAAATTGTGTGATGTACCTTGGAATCAGCTCCTGGTGATGCTGTGAATCCATTCTGGGACTTTTTAACATCATCATCAGACGAGCATTCAGAACACACAAACTGCTCCAAGTTTTTTGCTTCTTCAATAGTCATTCCCACACAAGCAGGATGGTACCTACAAGACAATTATAACGGAACTTTTTGAATAGTCATATGGGATAAATTGATCCTAGTGTAACGAGGCATCTAATTAAATTATTTTCCTTCTACCTCTAATCCCACATCGGTTATAACAAGTAACAACAACCCGACAGAAATAGTACCAACAAGCATAGATTTAAAGTAATCAATAAAGATCAAAAGTATTGAAATTAAGACTCCCCGGTAAAAATCACGGCAAGAACTAAAATTTCAAAATATAACTCATAATAAAGAGAGAGAATGATAATAGAAAATCTTTGGTAGAACTTGCACATACACAAACAGTAGCTTTCTTTATCTGAAAAAGAATAGATGGTAGATGATGCTTTCCATAGGCAAACACAAGAATAATGCCTTAGAAGCCAGGGCTGAAAAAATACCTAAGGTCCTAAACTCAAATTTACTTCACCTTTTGAAGCACCCCCACCTTTTCCCTTTGGATCCAACACTTGGCTTTACTTATACTTGATAACAAAATTTTAACTACAATGCTAAAACGCATTCACCAACTTCCATTACTGAGAAACAAAAACACACAAGAAAAAGAAAAAAAATAAGAGGGAAGGGGTTGGGGGAAACTGAATTTACCAGTCCTTGCACCCCTCACACTGCACCATGAGGTCATCCGGGTTATAAGGCATCTCACACTTGCAGTAGCTTCAAGAGAGAGAGAGAGAGAGAGATAAAGGTCAAAATCCAGCAATGCCATTAATCAAAATGAATACAAAAGCTGTAAAGTTGCCAAACTTTAGTTGCTCAATTATAAGATTATTAATATCCAACTAAACTAAGAAGCGAAGCACTACTTCTGGTACACAGAAATGGATCTACCTTAAGTTCGAGGGGGCAGCCTAAGGACTCCTTAATCTTGTTGCCCCAAATAAAAATAAAATAATAAATAATAAAAAAAAGACTTTTACAATTCTTCTCTTAGTTTGCTTCTTGAAATATTCTAATTGCAACATCTACATAGATTTTTATAAAAAATTTCAGTTACACCCCAAATTTTAGGTAGTAAACATAGTCATATTTCAAACTTATTTCTTATCCTACAAAAATTCATAATTTTTGGGACTCTGATAAGTAAACTTTATACTGTTTGACTTTGACAAACTTCAGTTTATTTGGAAGAAAAAAAAAATACAAATAGATGAAAGGTAAAAGAAATGGACAAAAAGTTATTTTTTTTTTTAAAGAAAAGATAATTACATTGTAATTTTAGAGTATAGTTCAAAATTTTGATCTACTTCATGCCTCTTAAAAAAAATCTGGCTCTGTAACTGCCCATAAATCCACTTAAACTTGAAGTTCAAATTGCGAAAGAAAACAAAAAGAAGCCATTTTGGAGCTATTTCCCTTTCTATTTTCAAACCTAAAAAAATTACAAATAATCTATGTTAAATAGTAAATTTAGTAAGTTCATATAAAAATGCATCCCAAAAACCAAAAAGCCCACATTTTTACGAACAAGAAAACCAAAAAAAAAATAAAAAAATGAACTCACACAGCGACTCGGTCAGGCGTGAAGCTCCCAGTGGCAGCTTTGTACTCAAAACGACAATAGTAGTCCTCGGCGGCGACATTCTCGAGCTTGGTGTAGTTCTTGAAGGAGTGAACGACACACTTTCCTTCAATGGTGTGTGCGCTCTGGACGTCGTAATGGTCCGACAAGAAGAGCTCTTTGGCGCCGTGGAACTGCCTCCGCCCTCCCATCGACTCCTCAGGCCGGTAGTACCACCTCACCCTCACCTTCGCGTGGTTCCTGTTGTCCGCCTCGATCTTCTCTATGCGCGCCACGTATGGGGGCTTACCCGTGTCCGATGGGCGCATCAGCACACAATCACCAGCTACCCGAACCAAAAAAAAAAAAAGGAAAAAAAATCTCATTTTGTTGTCTTGAAGTTTAGAGAGAGAGAGAGAGAGAGAGAGAGTGAGAGAGAGAGAGAGAGAGAGAGAGAGGACCTCGGACGACCTTGTTGGTGCCTTTGATGGTGTAGGAGTCCAGGTCCTTTTTGCCTGGTCTGGTTTTGGCCATGGCGGAGGGACTTTTCCTTTCGGAAGAAGACTTTCTTCTAGAGAGTAGAAGGAATGTATAAGGAACTGTGGAGCTATTTCAATGGCGATAAATCTGCTCATTCAAAAACCTAAATTTGGGTGCAGCAAGGAAAACCCTAGAACTTCGTGTACAGGAGAGAGAGAGAGAGAGAGAAAGTGAGTGACGCTTGTCATCAGTTGCAGCGACTTCACGTATATATTGGTGTTTAAACGCATCAGAGTCATTAATGCTCAATTACCGTTTATATCTCACTTTTTAGTCCTTTTTAATTTTTTAATTTTTAATTTAAATTTCTCTCTTATCAGTATGCATTGGATTTCGAATTTATCTTAAATACTACGCCTAATAGAAGCTAGCTAATATGGTTCGTGGGTTTTTTTTTTTTTTTTAATATGTTCTTTAGCTCATGATTTTTTTTTTTTTTAAATTTTGGGTTTATTTATTTCACTTATGTGAGTTTTTAATTTAAGTTGAGATGTAAATTTATATGAGAATTTTTTACAACTTCTTAGGATAATTTGAGTTTTTAATTCGAATTGAGATGTGACTTTGCGTGAGAGTTTTTTTACTGTAGTAAAAAAGCTAGATATGACTTTTTTTTAGAGTTTTTTACTGTAATAAAACTAGAATCGATGAAATAAACGGAATTTTACTGTAGTAAAATTCGAATTCTAAACTCGAATTGATGAAATAAAATAGCCTTTATTTTTTTAAACATGTAAACAAATTGTTGTTTTTTGACGAAAGATTGAAGGTGTTATTTATTATTATTATTATTTGCTAATGGATTGAAGGTGTTATTTGGATACAAGAGTTCACAACCATCTTTGGCACTTTCAAATATACAAGTATACCTGGTATTTTTTAATTTGTGTTTTCCAAAAAGAATCACTTCTTCAGTAAAGGAATTTGCAACAAAAGTCAGATTTAAACGTATTGACTTGCAATTTCATGAAAATATAAAGTTATTTATCTGAAGTGTGTGTAATTCTCCAAAAATTTTATTGCCAATATGTCCATACATATTCAGCGAAAGGAGGGGGAAAATGCCCTTTTATTCGACCTATTCGTCGTTTACCATATGTGTTCACTGATAAATTACTGTAACGCCATTAAATCTAGTGTCGTATGTTTTTGCCCGTTTCCATGTTTGCCTCTGCTGGGGCAGATTTGCGTCGTTATGCGCGTTTGCCTCAATCACGGGACTGATCGGGCATTCTAGCCATTTCACTGGTCGTTGAAGTAACTCAGCAATGAGAATAACTGATAAATAACTCAGCAATCACGGGATAGATTCAGAATGATGCTTCAGAATTATTCTCGATTTACGTATATTTTTTTATGAGAAAAAATACTGTAACGAGTCACGAATTATGATTTAAATTATGACACGAATCTTTAAACTAAACGCACACTAAGATGAGGAGACCAAAATTTTTAAAATTTTGCTCCCAAACGTTCCTAGTCTAGTAATGACAATGAATGAGAGTACATTTTTCCATCAGTCTTGTTGTAACGTTGTCAATAGTATTGGTAGTACTTTCGAAAACGACATTCTATGGAACCAAAATTTTTGACGGGATAAATTATGATAAAACAAAAATTGTCGGCTATGCAAACCGACAATTTTCCACACTTTTTTCTTTGAGAACTGTGCTTTAATCACTTTTTTTTTCCTTTTTAATTTAAGATGCGGATATGAAATTCACACGCTCAAGTCATACTTGCAACCAAGCATATTGACTTCAGAACAAAAAAGAAATTATAAACTTATTCAACGAGACGTGATTGTTGTCAAAGAATGCGCCAAGCATGTGCACTTACTCTCTTTTTTTTTTTGGCTAACTGGTTTACTGCTGGTAGTCCGGGCATCTTCTAACAAGGAAGTTACATGTCTCGAAGGACTTCTCATTCAACTCTGGAATGTCCTGATATCAAAGAATATTAATAAGCCTATTGGAAAATAATAATATTACAAAAAAGCGCCAACTACGCGTCCCAAAAACCAGCGAAATTAAACCACAATTTTCATAGCAAGGCACAAAGTCCAAAACAAACAAAAAATGGGAATCATTTGAGTCAAGAATTTGCATATCTTTCAACTACGAAAAAGCTCATTATTATTGGCTTTCTTTTCTTCTACAAATTGCCAAGGGAAAAAAAAAATTTGAAAAGAAAGAAGGCAGTTCCGGTTGTGAGTTGAAAGTAAATGAGTAGAGCAGACAAAGTAAATATAAGATCAACGGTTGATCGGAGTGTGCACCCTCTCAACAATTCCGTTTACTGCATCACGGGACATCACTAGCGTGTCATGCAGCAAAATACTGTAGACATTTAGACCCTGCAAAACATGTAAAAACAGGATAAGAAATCAACTGTCTAACAGAACTTCAAATAATGGAGCCGGTAAAATTTTGGTAATACACAATTTGTGCAGCTTACAAAAAAGTTGTAACTACAAACTATTTGGTACAAAATGGATAAACAAAGTTATTAGAGAAAGTAAGAGACTGTTATATGAACAACAGAGAAAAGATAGTTCTATCAATATTCACACACACACACACATAGAGAGAGAGAATGAGCTTAAGTTTTTGCGAATGGAAAAAAAGAAGTATGTAGAGAATAAAAGATCATGAATATATACAATATATATATATATATATATATATATATATATATATTACGAAAAAAAAGAAGGTGCAACTTACAATCGAGGGCAGCACGTTCACGTAATGTAAATTTTGTGTGGCCAACTTTAGCTTTTCACCAATAGGACTACCGTCCACCAACAGAAGCTTCTTGGTGTTCTCCATTTGACTGACATAATTCACAATGTTCTTGGTTTTATGTGTGGGGACCTCCAAGTCCTCAAAAACCAGAAGCTGTTTATTGCACAGCAGAAAAATATAAATCATAAGTGCAAAGGTTGAGACATGAAACAACGCACGTGCGAATTACAAATGTTATTTGTGACTAGCTATATACAAACACATTATAAAGGCTTCTTGTGTACGATGTTATTGTATTTATCCATCATGAAAAAAAGGTCTTTCAGATTTAGGATGTATACAAAGCCTTATATCAAGACAATGTGGACATATATGTCTCACAACTATACAGGAAAAATAAATTCCATGTCAAATCTATCTCTAAACTCGTTCTCAACAAAGAATATTGTTAAGAAATAACGTGCGTGTTTGGAACCGTTTTTTAAAACGGTTTTCACGTATTTCGAGAAGCAAAAAATGAAAATGAAAACGAAACGACATTTGTTTAGCAAATGTTTTGAAAATGAAAACGAAAACAGTGAGAATGGTTTTTGTGAAGGAATTAGAAAACAGTTGAAAGTTGTTTTCACTTTTCTGTTTTCATTTTTTAGTACTTATCAACAATAATATAATATATTAATTAATAAACACGATTTCACTTTTTTATTATACTCAAAACAATCTCTTAAAAAACCAACCAAACGCAATTTTAGAACCGGTCCCAGAATGATTCTCAAAACATTCTCATTTTTACTTTTTATTGAAAACAAAATCATTTTGAAACCAATTCCACAACCTATGCAAGTGCTGTACTTGCTAAACAAAGTCGTGACAAAATACTGTGAATTTGCTAACGATATGTACACACGAATTTCGCCAAGGTATGCAACGACAACTGTTGCAGGGCTTTATTGTTGCAAGAACTAGAATCTATTTTTCAACAAAGGGAGAATACTTGCCTTTCCCTCTGCTGCACGGGCTGTTAAAGCAATCTTCAGCCCTAGCCGTCGAACCTTCTTATTCAACTTAATAGCATGACTTCGTGGCTTAGGACCATGCATTGTAGCACCTCCTCGAAACTGTTACCCATTTGAAGGTCTATTAAGCTTCATATGATAGCATCTTAAGGACTCAATAACATCAAAACCCAACCAGTTAGATCATTTGTACCTGGGGACCACGTAATGTTCCATGCCTTGCTCTACCGGTACCCTTCTGTGGCCATGGCTTTCTCCCAGTTCCACTGACCTCGCTAATAGTTTTTGTTGAATGTGTTCCCTGCAGACCACTTGTCATCAGAAAATCTGTTTACGTTCTCACATAAACAAAGTCTCTTCAAAACCATTTTATGGTGTACTTACCGTCAATGTGCTGGAATGCAGATTAATTATAAAAACTACACCACGTGCTATTTACAAGAGAATCAAAACTTGAACCGCTATGTTGCCAGGTGATGTGGCTAATAAAAGAGAATCTTAAAATCTGCTTTTTCAATAGTTCAAGAATAGCATGTATCTTCGATATACTTTATAGCTAGGTAAAATCGCCATTACTGGATGTCATTACATGCTTAAAGCATCAACATAAATTAATCAGAACCTGCTGTCGTTTTGCAAGTTGCCATAGTACAACTCGGTGTATAATGTCCTTCCTAATAGGCACGTCAAAGACATCGCCAGCTAAAACCATGAAGCCCTTATCTTCATTATGAAAATTTGTCACCGGAATTACCATATCCTGATAAAGCCCTAAACAAAGATATCTTAAATCAATATGCGTTCAAACAAATTTTATAACCAAACACAATGAAGAGACATAAGGCCTCTTTTACACACTCAATCCATCAGTGTTAAAGATAAAAACATTTCAAAATCTATATTTATTATCCACTCGCAGTTCAAAAATGAAATCGTTTCAATTCTTCCTTATACCTATTTCTCGGTCTGCTGCCACCACGGGCTTAGCTGAAAGTAAATCAGAAGGAAATACACCTTCACTTGATTCAGGAGTCAGGACCGTTGAAAGCTTTCGATGAGAAAGGAAAGATGACCCGCCCTACAAAGGATCAAGATAATATGTGTCCGTAAACTGAAAATCTATAACTAAAACCCAAAATTGGAATGTCGGTTAGAATATCTCATTTACATTTTATTCTAAGCTAAACTTTACAGAAGACAAAATGAAGTAATATTCTACCTTCAAAATGCCTGAAGAATCTGCAGAAAGTAAGCTATCGCCAGGAACGTGGTTGTACAGATCTGTTTAAGGAAGGAAACGAGTGCCGCAAACATAGATTTATAACTATAGATATGTGTGCGCAGAAAGCCGCAAAATGAACTCAAATGTACAAATTACGAAGCAATTAATGAGCGATACTTAATAAGTACATATTGTTACCATGAGTTGTGCATAACGATGGAGAGGTAATGCTTGAGTAATAGCAGCGAGAAGATGCGGATGAAGACCCAAGAGCACGTAAGATCCTTCTGGAAATAGACAGAGCCATGTCTTAAACTAGCAGACAACCGGCAACCTTTTCTCCCAAATGCATCAATGGACGGTTAACCTGCTCATCTATAAACACACAGCATAAGTTTCCTAATACCTTTTGCCCCATCCAACTGCAGATTCCAACTGCTTTCTTCTTAAAATGAATAAATGAAAAGTACAAACCAAGTCTCCAAATCGTTCTTTTGAGTTTCTTATATGGTGGCCACTAAATCATCTAAAGAATGCAGCTTTATTAGGAAAAACATCTTATTTACCTATTGTGAAGCATGTTAGAAACGAAGATACACAACTTTTTACAGAATTATCAACTAAAGCACCAAGAAAATTGATTTCTGGTTCTGCCCACTAGATGTTCGATGATTTGCGCCAATTAAAACTAATATTATTTGATAAGAGAAAAAGGAAATGTAGCAGAAGGTTACTCGGAAAGAATAAAAACGGAACAGCAGAGTGATTGGAAGCCGAAAAAATATCAATTTATAACGTAAAAAATCATTCCTGTGTCGAAAACAAACGTCCAAAAATGACGACACGGCAGACAAAGTAAAGACGAAGTAGCTAAGAAGAAGAAGAAGAAGAAGAAGAAGAAGAAAAAGAAGTACAAGGTTTCGACGGAGATGGTGGAAATCCGGTGGCTAAATCGCTTGAACTGGCGTCGATGGTGGAACTTCCGGCGAGAGAGTGTTGAGGAGGCAGAGGCAACTGGAACCCAACGATACGAAAATGAAACCTCAGTTCCAATTTCCACTATGTTGGATCTGGGGTTTGGGCTTGGTATGAAGGCCCACTTAATTCTCCGTGGTTATTCGTGGGCTACTGGGCCTGAAGATGTGATTGCCGCTACTGGGCCTAAAGATGCGCCACTCGCTAGTGCTTGGATGTTCCACGCAGGGAGGGGGATGACAGACGGCAGATGGGGAAACTTCTCGATTTTGGAGGTTGATAGCACTTGGTTTAATAAAGAGGTGTTAACTTGGTTTTAAAATAAAAATGAGATAATTTTAAAAAAAATTTAAATTGATTTTAAAATTATGTTTGGTTAATTTTTGAAGAGATTATTTTGAATATAATAAAAAAATAAAATTGTGTTTATTAATTAATATATTATAATATTATTGATAAGCACTAAAAATAAAAATAAAAAAGTGAAAACAACTTTTAACTATTTTTTAATTTCTTCACAAAAATCATTCTCATTGTTTTCGTTTTCAAAACATTTGTTAAATAAACACCGTTTCATTTTATTTTCATTTTTTACTTCTCGAAATACATGAAAATCATTTTTAAAAACGGTTCCAAACACACAAAATGTTTTATGAAAGCGTCTTTGTAATTGGACAAAATGTAAAAGAGGAAGAAGGTTTTTATCAAAAATCATTTTAAAAAATCATTTGGCTTAAAAAGGTATGATCAAAAGAATTTTAAACAATCATTTTAAAAAAATTCATATCAATTTAGTTTTTACAAATGGACTTTGGACTTTGCTGAAATTGTTTTTATATCATTAAATCCTTCTCAAAGTCTATTATGTGTTTTCTACGATTTTAGAATGTATTGCTTTTAGGGTAAGGTGCGTGACAAATATTTTTCAAAGGTTTCCAGTAAATTTTAATTAGATTTCGACAGTAGAGCATGAAACGGCTCGTGGGGTAATGTGATTTGAACGATGAGCTAGTTCCAAAGTAAATTTTAGATGCACAAATTTTAGTCCAAACTAATTTTTAGATGCACGAATTTTGTTCATTCTTTAAAGGATGATGTGATGTTTTAAACTAATCATACTAAAAAATTAGAGTTTCAACCCCTCACAAATTCATCAAGTTTGAGTCCCATATTATTCCAAACTCGAACAAAAATACTTCAAAGCACCTTACTTCCAAACTACCCAAACAACTTGATGAGTGTACCATATCAATAAGACTATTTTAAACGGTCATTATCTAGATCAAATTCAATCTTTTACATTTTCCATTTGTTCAAGTGTAATTTAAACCTAATCTAACATTCGAGAAACGACCTTACAATATGATAGTTGTTGTAGTGTCAATCGCAAGTGTAAGATATTGCTAACAAGTAATAAAAAGTTAGTTTAAAAATATTATTCCGATGAGGATAATATATTCATTAAGTACTAAAATCGGATAATTTTAGTTTTATTTGAGTAATCGAAAAAATGACTTCTGATTTATTTTACAAAATTTAAAATTTGAAACAACAACAAATTTTAAAAATAATAAAGTAAAAAGAAAATTATTTTATAAAATGACAAGACTGATAAAACAATAATTATGAAAATGTTAGGAATCATGATTTCATCAATATTAATCGAATTTAATTTATTTACTGCGATTTTGAGATCATGCTATGTTCATGGTTGAATCCTCTTGTGTATTACGTGCTTTTAGTTATACATAAAATATACATTTTCATAAAAACTTACTATATCTCTATGTGAATTGAATTACAAAAATGTTCATTAAAATTAAAAAATTCAAAAATGACCACATAAAAAAGATAAATATATCTCCATACTATCTCAGAATTTACGGTATTATTTCAAAGCTATGTCATAAAAATCTCCCATCAGTTTCATTTTGATCCTCAATTCATTCAAAAAGTTAATCAGAAATTTCAAAGCATTATGTCTAGAAATAAATACGTCAACACAAGTATGATAATCACAATAATATTTACACAAATTAAATCCTTATAATATTATCGTGTCATCATCCCAACAAAAATTAAATTTAAAACATAATTATAATTAAACTAACACAATAAAAAAATCAAATAACATTTTCATGACAAAAAATAATGGATACCTCCCAACAGGCTCGAGGTATGCTTGAAGAGGGAAGCAGCTTAAGCTTGGAATGCAGATGAGTCCAATGTATGAATACTGTAGAGTTATGGAGTTTTATAAGCTTTAGAATTTATTTTTTATTTTTTTCTTCTTCTTCTTCCTCCAAAATTACCCTGAGAATCCAATATTTCAGACTTAGTCCGGTAAGGACTATGTGAAACCGAATTTCTATTGGCCATCAGATTCCAACAAACATTTATATATTAGGGCTAATATAAATTAAGAGTGCTTAATTAAACGTCGGGTTTTACCACGTACATAAGAGATGTCATGTAGGACATGAGAACGTATTGTTGTTAAAGCAATATGCTTATACATATTTATTAAGTATATATATATATATATATATATATAGACTCTTCAGAGAAGCGCGGGAGAGATATCCATAGGAAATGGATTTCCCAAAACATTGTCCATGTAGTAGTGATGAGGATGCGTTGCGTCCATCACAACAAACTGCATATCTTCGGAAGGCTTCCAGTGCCTCTTCCTTTGGTTGATGAACCAGTTGTTTATTTGCTTCTGATCCAGTCCCGTTGATTCTGCCAATGCCAGCTTCTGTGACTCCTGTTTGATCACAATAGCCCATTTGACATCAACTAGTAATCAACAAGTACTAGTAGTAACTAATTTGATGAGATCAGTACGGAAAAAAAAAACTAATTTGATATGATTTTATTCTTCTAATCTAAGATTTTCTTCGAACTAGCTAGTATATAATCAGCGCTAGTAAAATAACCAATCAAACATCGACTAGTATGACCAACAAGTACTGATTTTATCACGTCTACTATCCAAGAAAATGTTTACAAATACAAGTCAAATATTGCATAGAACAAGAATTGCTGGGTTGGTTGGGCGCTTGTTCACCTCGCACGAAGTTTTTTAATAATAAAACATCTAAAAAAGACAATAAAGGTTCAATCTATTTATGTATGTTTCGATAAGATACATATATATATATATATATATACCCCAACTAGTTGGGATTAAGGCTTGTTGTTATTGTATATATTTATGTATGTATGTTTGCATTACCGAGGGATAAGGCCATTTGTAATGTCTGCTCCACCAATCAAGCAGCTGCTGCCTGGCTTCCTTAGGGAGTTTCCCTTTCTTCCTCTTCTTCATGAACTCTTGCTTCAGGCTGCCCAAGTACCCACTGTACTTGCGCAGGAGCTGGCCTTTTAGTTCCCGGTCTTCAGCTTGCGGATCTATGAGGCTGTTGTTCACGTCAACCTCTTCTTCCGACGAACCATTCCGATCAACAGCCTCACCACAACCTGAATAACAAGCATATTTTAGGGGTTAAATCGGAAGAAAGAACAGGCTCTTTAAACACTAAAATGTTGCACAAACTAGTAGTGTGCCGCGTATATATGTTTAGAACCCTTGGCAATAGCAATTACATGACATTTCCATTGCTTCAAACTTCTCAAAAAAATGCGTAAATTTCCTTTGAATAATGTGCGCGAAGAGAAAGCATTCGTGTTCATTCAATCTCACACCAACAATATCAAAGCATGAAAGTCCTCATTAATCTTCAACTTGATAACATTGTTCACATTATTTTCTCCAAAGAAACTATACTTGTACAGGAAAAACATTTATTCAAACGTGTTATTTAGACTAGTCAATTCCTAATCGGGCTATATAGGAATTGACTTGTCTAATTTAGTGTCTGCTCCACATACAAAGATAAATATCTAAGTCTGCATATACATTGGATGAAATTGCTTGATGAATTTTTACATGGTTAAAATTAGGGTGAATTGTGTCGTTGACAAAGACCGTTTCTTTTGGTTTATTTAAGGGCCACCCATTCTAGTTCAAAAGATGTAGTGTATGTCTTTCGCCAAACTCCACAAAGATGATAAATATTTTACTTTCCACATAAATCAAGTTGTGGACATATTACTTTCTTCCATCTTCTCATCAAGAGTCAAAATGTATTATATGCTTCTAATGATGATATTAAAAAAATATAAGTCTTAATGATCAGGGAATTATGGCAAGCAAAAAAGATAAAAAGATAAGACTGTTAAGCCAACGCCAACATAGAGAGAAAAAATGTCAGAAATATGAAATAACCAAATTCAATTCACTTTGACAAAACAACAGAACTAGAGAGAAAATTGAACAAAGATAAATATTAAACACCCCCGGAATAGAAGGTGATGGGAAGGTTTTTTTTTTTTTTTTTTTAAGGAAGGAAAGCATCTTATAGCCAATGAAAATGAATGACTCGATAACTACAATCCAAAACATATAAACTACGATCCAAAATATATAAACTACAATCCAAAACATATAAATTTTGAAGAAACAAAGTAATATCTTTAAGCCATTTCATTAAGAACATACCACTTCAGTTCCCCTTCATCTCGACAGCATGCTTGCCATTTAAAAAAATAATAATAATAGTAATAAAAGATTTTCTACAGCCCAAAAAGTAAGACATAAAATATATACTTCGCCGTTGATAATTATAGGTTGTCATCAAAGCTTCACATTAACAAGCGATAAAGTACGTAATTACATGACACCAATTAAACAACCAGTGTAGATTCATAAAATTAGGTTTACTCAAAAACACATTTCCTCACTACAGCAGCACTGCAAGAGATTATATAACTAACTCTATCAAGCTACTAAACACACACCATCAGATAGAGTGTTTCACTAACGGCCTCCCATTAACCATGCAAATAAACTAGCATCTATACAAATAAACACACAAGTAAACACAATTATCTACTAAAGTCATAAATACACTAATTACAAAGACGTGAAAATCGGTTCTACAAAGTACAAATATACTAAAACATGTTTTAAGTACACAACATGATGTGACAAAGAATGGCAAGACAGTTTTTCCGTCCTCAAACAAAGGTAGAAGCAATTCCAAGCTAGTAGAATCTGATCCATTAGTAGGGAAAAAAAAAAAATACACCATACAATTCCATTACCACGAAAACTTCATCATTTACAGAACATATATAAGAACGTATGTTACACATAAATACATATATAGTTTATTTCTTTATTTATATGTTTTAAATGGGTGATCCCAATCTCCTTCAAAACATACCCTATTAATTATTTCCATCTGAATGGCTTCCGATCAGTGTCACTTGTCTACATTGGATAACTTTTGCAATGAGAGAGTTATAATAATATTAATTCATTAAGCAACTGACTTTTTGGTGCAAAACTCGTGCTCTAAATAGTCAAGATATAGAGTTTAAAAGTGGATTTGTTCAAAAAAGTCCAAAGAAGCGCAAACAGTTGAGAGTAGGGATTGAGTTTTGGTTCAAATATGTCCAAGTTACTGTCAACAGACCAAGAAAAATTCTTTGACTTAAGTATACAAAAACCATAATCATCCAAGTATATATATATTTACCATTAATAGAATCTTATTCACCTTCCCCATAAGGACAGAGAGCTTAAAGACTTGCATATATATATATATATATATAGTACAAAACAAAAGCAAGTGTGTGTTAAAGAGCATGGAAATCGGAAAGCGCCAAGAATTTTTGGGAAATGAACAAATCCACTTTTAATGCAGACATCCAGAAAACCATAACAGCGAGAGATGAAGCTGACCAACTATATACATCTCTAAATAAAATGCCTGGCAGCAAGAACAATTAGCGTCACATTTGAATCACTACTATTCAAACCCAAACATACTTCTACAAAAATATACAAGCAAAGAGAAAACAAGAAAAGTACAAAAAACGAAAGCAACTAACAAGGATAGAACAAGAAATAGGAAAAAAAAAACAAAAACAACACAAAACAAAAAAAAAAACCTGCTTCGGGAAACAAGCCATTATTTCATGGATATATAATTTTTAATTGAACCCATCACAACCATGCTTCTTGGAAACATACACATGCATGGGGGGCTAGTTAGCCCGGAGTACTATAATATTATTATATAATAAATAAATATATATATATATAATAGTTACAACACAAAATCATGATCAATCAGGTAAAAAAACAACTGAGAACAGTTGAAATCAGGTCAAACCATTTATGCAAATTCATTAATACCAGAATCCGACGAGGAAAGCGTGAGAGTTTTGAATTGACACTCAATACTCTGGAGAAAAAGCATGGCCTCTTTGAAGGGTTTGGAGAGCTCTTGCTCGTACTTTGTCAGCATCTCACAATAAGCCTCCATGAACTGATCCAACGCCGGATCTTCCCCTAGACTCCCTGTGCTGACGTGGCCCATTGCCGCCGCCGCCGTCGCGCACGCCTCTTCCAGTCTCGCCACCACCTCCACCGGTGCTCCCACCTGCATACACTCACGCACACACACGCACACACACACACACACAAACATATAATATTATTATTTTTAGGCTTACATAAGTATATTATATATTACCACTAGTTGCTTTCAACCCTAGTTCTTTGACAAGCTGAAGAACTTTAGTGTTATTTTGTGGATGAATTCACAGATCCAAACATCTCAAGGGCAAAAGAAAAAAAAATACTCTAGTGTAATTTTGTCTTTGTAGATTTTTTTTCACCTTTTGGCAATTGACATAGGCGGCCAAGAGACGGTGGTAGTGAGGATGAGCCATGATCTTGGCCTTGAATGAGGAGATATTGTTGCAGTCGTTGTTCTGACCGGCCATGAAGTAAGTAGACCCGGCAGTTGCTGAAGTGTTGTTGTTGTTGTGGTCAAGCATAATATTGAAAGAAGAAGAAGAACCGCTAGTATTAGAACTGTGGCGATTTTGATGATTAATGTTGGTGGGAGCTGGAAGAGGAAAAGGAAGAAATAATGGAGCGATATTGTTTGTGTCTGCATTAGCGTTAGGATTATTTGGATTAATAGGATGATGATTGTGATGTTGTTGTTGTTGTTGTTGCTGCTGATGATGATGATGATGATGATGATGAGCATGATGAGAATGATGGGAAGTCATTAGAGGCATCATCATCATTGGACATAGTCCATTACTGTTTTCTCCAAAAGCCATCATGCAGGAAGTGCCATTAGAACCACCTTCCATTATCTCTCCCTCTATCTTCTCTCTCTCTCTCTCTCTCTTGATCCTTAAACTTACCTAAGTTTTCACTATGGAAACAGCTCTCACTTTCTCACTGCCTAGACAAAATCTTTATGATCTAAAGATGGGAGTGCTCTCCCGGGTTTTAAGCTACACAAGTTCCAGGCTTTTTCACAGGAAAGAGATGCATCATATGTTCCTAAACAGTGATACTGCTAGTAATCACTGGTCAGTTTTTTTAAGTAGAAAGCAACAACAACAAACAATATTTCACTGTTTTTCCTTTTTTTTTTCTATCCTTTCTAACTTGTTTCTTTTCTTGGCTGGTAAATCTTGCAGGAAAAAACCACTCAGATATAAGCGTGTGGTATTTATGACTAATTAAAAACGGAGATCTTAGATGGGGGAAAACAAAAGGGGCCAAAGTGGGTTGTTCGTGTAAATGGTGAAGAGGAAGAACCCTGGTACTGAAAAAGCTTTTACCTTCCCGATGTAAACTCTCTCCCTCTTTTCTTGCACTGCAACTGAGGCACTGCCATTACTGGCAAAGAATAAGAGAGATAAAATATTTTAGAAGAGGAGAGAGAGAGAGATATGAACGATCAAATCGAGGAGGAGAAGAGAGGCCAGGGCGTCACCCTACTAGTTAGTGATATTAGAGAGGTTTTTGGGGCACGGAATCACCTTCACTACTACGATATCTTTCTCTCTCCTCTTTCTCTCTCCTCTTTCTCTCTCTATACACTGTGGCCTGGCTTTCTTGTTACTGCTGGGGCTTGAGAGCAATCTGTCCACTCATTTGATATTCCCACTTTTATTATTGTCTTCTTTGATTTTGATCCCTCTTCTCTCCATTCCCGAACCCCAAAACTCCAAATGTGCCTCTATATACGTCCCCCAGTGAGGAAGGTTTAATTTACTTTTTTATTTAATTAATCCACCAAATTGTTTGTTCCTTGTTTCTGCTGCCTAATAATTGTAAAACGATGCCAGTTACCCAAGAATCTGCCACTTTGGTTCCTTGTTGATCATTATAACTTGGCGAGGAAAAAATTCAGAAATACCGCAGAAAATAGTTTAAAATATTACTTATTTTTTATTAAAAAATAAACCATTATTATTTTAATATTGTTAAATCAATAATTACCATTTAATTAATAAAAATAAAACAAAAACTATTATAACATTAAATTATTTAAAACAATATAAATATTAAAGTCTCGTTAATTTTATTAATTTAAATTTAAAATTTGAGTTTTGTTATAGTATAAAATTTTTAAAAATAATTATATCTAATTTTTTTATTATATTAAAAAATTTAATTTTAAACATGCACATTTTATTTATGAGTCATGTATTTTTCTCATAAATATATATATGTAATAGGATAGGTTATGAAAAAGAAATTGTTTCTTTTTATTTTAAGATTGTAATAATTATATTATATATTTTGGATTATATCATTTTACCTCTTCATATATATTTTAAATTTTATGCCCGATTTTTATTTTTTCTTGGTTAATAGTCAATTTTCAATCTTAAAATCCATAAATCTTTTAAATAAAATAGAAATAAGAATAAGAAAAAAAACTAAAAATCCAAAAATGTGAATGTTCTTTAAGTCATTTCTATATTTTTTTTATATTAAAGGTCTTTTTTATAGTTAAATAAACTTTTGATAAAAGAAATGATATATTTAGTATGAATTTGAAATGTGAAAACTATACCTTTTACATTTTTAAAATACATTAATGTAAATATGAAAATATCCAAAAAAATCATTACATGATATAGCTTTCAAGCTAAAATTGTAATAGATTAAAATAATCTAAATAACATAAGTTTGATAAATCTATGACAGTTAAAAATTTTGCTTTAGCTATTACTAATATTTTTTTCATATTCTATTCTATCATAAAATAGATGAGTTTTTGCTTAAGGAATAATAGCTGCCCTTTTAAATAATAGTTTTTGTTTGGAACCTCGCCTGTTTTTTTTTTTCTGAAAATTTGGAACCTCACTTTTAAAACAACTTAATAGGTTAAAATTTTTTTTAAGATCTCGTTCATTTTATCGATTTGAGTTTTCAGTTTTAAATTTTTACAGTTAAAAGTTCTCATAAAATGTTCTTTTTTTGCTACAGTTAAAAGCTCTCAGAAAATGTCACATCTTAGCTCAAATTAAAAACTCGAATTCACAAAACGAATGAGACCTAAATAATTTTCTTACAGTGAGCAATAAAAATATTACAATGAATCATGATTAGTCTATTTGTGTCATAATTTTAATCATGATTCGTAGATTACTACAGTATTTTCTCTCATAAAAATATACATAAATAAAAAATAATTATAAATCATAATCTTAAATCTATGAAACAAACGTAAAAAAGTTTCCGTCTTGCTGAAACTCAAATACAAGTTTCAAGCTCTCCTGAAGATAAAACTCCTCTGAAGATGATCTAAACGACTTCTTTTAGACTAAAATATGAAAAACAACGTCGAGTAAACTCTGAGCCCATTTTGTTCGTTGATTCAAATTTTTAATTCGAATTAAGATGTAATTTTATGTGAGAATTTTTTATTGTAACAAAAAAGTTAAATATAATTGTGTATGAGAGTTTCTTACTATAACAAAACTCAAATTTTAAACTCAAATTGATAAAATATACGTACTTCTATAAACAAACTCATTGGCCTCGTTCACTTTTCTGATTCGAGTTTAGAATTCGAGTTAAGATGTGATTTTATGTGAAAACTTTTTATTGTAATAAAAAAGTTAAATGTGATTATTTATGATAATTTTTTACTATAAAAAAATTTAAATTCTAAATTCGAATCAGCAAAGTGAACGGGGGCCATAATATGTTTAGAGGCATGTTAAGCACTACAAAAAATAGGCGGTATTTCTGTGTGCACCATTACAGAATCTATCTGTTATTAATGCGCCATATGATAATATTGTTCTATGTTTATGCACTGAAGATGATATTACAGGCTGAAAATTTGTGTAATAATTTGGGCACCCCGGACCCGTTGTTGTCTGTGTTGCGCCAAACCAAGTGAGAGTTTATACTGACAAAAATCTCAACCCATATCATTATTAGTCACAGTCATAGCATCTAATCTGTAATTATTTACCACGGAGAAAAGTGGAGGGTTTCTCAGCTTAAAAAAGCTGATAAAGTTAGTGGGACAGTCCGAATGTCTCTTCCTCATCTCTCTCTAGTCTCTATATATCTATAGGTTTCATTTTTTTCTCTCATTCTCTCTCTCATCAAAGATGAAAGGCCGAAAAAGCTAGCTATCTCTATACACATTGTATCGTGTGAGAAACCGTAGAGACAGCGATATAATCCACGGTAAACAAATCGTATTTTATGTGTGTTAATCTGTTCATTTAACCGATTTAAATTTTTAATTTTAAGTTTTAACAGTAAAAAAACTTTCAGAAAATATCACATTTAATTTTTTTTATTATAATAAAAAATTTTTAGAAAATATCACATCTCAATTTAAATTAAAAACTCAAATTTATAAAGTGAACGAGGCCACATATAACTGTTACAACCAGACAAATATTAGCATTATTTTTTTTTAATTTTTTATTACGTTTTATATTTATTATTTGACATATAAATTTTATTAATATAATATATTATCACTTAAACAAAATAAGATAATAAAATTCATGTGTTAAATTATAAATGTAAAAAATAATAAAAAAATATTTGAAGAAGTGATGTTCATAATAAATAAAATAGTAAATACATAGAATAATAAAGAAGGTCACAGAAAAAATAATATTAGTATTTCATATATATACACACACCACCAATTAAAGCACGTCTAAATATGATTTATTTCCTTTTTTGTAGTTTTCTCTTTTAATATAAAATTTGTGTAGTTTTATGATTTGAGTTGATATATGATTTTATATAAGAATTTTTTATTATAATAAAAAAGTTAGATGCGACTGTTTTTAAGAGTTTTTTACTGTAACAAAACTTAAATTCTAAACTCAAATAGGTAAAATAAACGGATGATATATTTTTTCAGGCGAAATAGTGTACTGAAGCTTCATGTGTACGCAAAATTTACATTATTTTTAGTCGTCTTAACTGGTTAATTTTAGCAAAAACCAAAAAGAAAAAGAGAATTTTTTTATTTTTTTGCTTGAAGATGTATAATTTATGGTTCAAGTTAAATGACAAAATATTCGATTAAATCTTTCAACAATAAACTCTACTCACAGCGAGAAATTAGCTTTGTGGGGGCTATTAATCTTTTTAGAAAATTTCATTTTAATACCCTATGTTATATTTAAATATGAGTTTAGTATCTTTACTTTTAATAATTTCATGTTGAAACCTCGATCTTTTAGGAAATATTCTTTTGTTACCCAAGAAAATTTTTTAGGATACATTTACTCTTATTGTTAAATACAAAAAAAAAAGCTTTTTAAAATATCTTAGACTTACAACTAAAGACGTAATCTTCATTTTACCCAAACATAAAGTGAAACTCTTGAATCTTGATTGTAAGTTTAAGATTTTTTTTAAAAGGTTTTTTATACATTTAACATTAAGGGTTTTAAAATATCTTAGTCGTGCAACTAGAAACTTAGGCATCGTTCATTTCACCGATTCGAGTTTTCAGTTTTAGGTTTTTACAGTAAAAAACTCTCAAAAAATATCACATCTAACTTTTTCTGCTACAATGAAAAACTCTAAAAAAATGTCACATCTCAACTCGAATTGAAAACTCAAATTCGCGAAGTGGACGAGGCCTTAATCTTCATTTTACCCTAAACATAAGGTGAAACTCTTGATTGCGAAGTTTAAGATTTTTTTAAAAAAGCTTTTTTATATAGTTAATAATAAGAGTAATTTTATCTTTTTGTATATCAAAAAACTGTCCTGAGACACTAAAAAAAGATTTTCTAAAAGATTGAGATAACAACATGAAATTATTAAAACAGAAGGTAGTAAACTCATATTTTAATATAACACATGTACCAAAATAAAATTTTTCTTAATCTTTTTTATATCCGTTTAGTTCGTTGATTTGAATTTTTAATTTGAGTTGAGATGTGACTTTATATGAGGTTTTCTACTGTATTAAAAAAGTTATATGTGATTGTTTCTTATAATTTTTTACTATAACAAAATTTAAATTTTAAACTCGAATCGGTGAAGTAAACGGACATGTGTTTGTCCTTTTGCGTTATGTAGATGCTTTTGGTGTCTCTGTGTTTAATTTACAACAATTTTTAGCTTACTATAAAGGACAAGAAAAGTGTTATTTATCACAATTAGTGAAACAATTTCTATATATAATAATAGAAAAATAACTACTACTTACAGTGGCGTAACAGTTTCTTTCTACGTGACAGTTAATTTCTTTAGAAAATCAATTTTTTCTTTCGTATGCTTTTGGGTTGGTAATCCCTTTGAATTAAAAAAAAAAAAAAAAAAAAACCTACTGAGAGACATGATTGGGACATCTCATGGCGCAAGGTATCGCGTCTGTATAGTATACGTAGAATTTTATATGTAGCGATACGAGAGAAGTAATTGGTTATGGTAGCTACGTATTAAATGAATCACCTGTTTCGTATGTCAGTCATGT